TTAAAGAATGCAATCAATGTAAATGGAAAATCGTGGATTTGATCTTTGTCAAAAGCAACAAAGCAACAAAAGAACGTACTGCATCAAAATATTAAACAATATTTTTTACATTTTTTTTGTTATATTTGTCATATAAATTATAATATTTTTTATTGAAAAAATTAAAAGTAAATTTACATACCCACCATATTTTTATGTTTTGCTAATATATTTTTGTCGAATTAACAAAAGGTAACATTTCGTGGTGGTACGACGTCTTTGTGGCAAAGTTTATATTAATATACATTATTTTTTGCTACCTTAAAAAACAACGTTTCAGAAACTGCAGCGCAACATGCGCCTTCCTATACAGACTAACTTATAGTTAAAGAAAATCGAATTCTTTCCGATAATTTTATGTGCCATTGTGTGTAGCTTGTACAATAAAACCAACACGGGCAACTTTAACAATCTGCTAAAGAAAGGAAACAGTTGTATTTGCTGCTAAGTTAGATAGAAACTAATGCTATATAGGTATATTTGTAGCTTTGTGTTAGGTTGTGCCGAGATTGATGAACCAATTAGTTTTGTTTTGTTTTAAAATTAAACACGCTAACGTTGATTTTATACAAGACGTATTTTATTTATAAGTTGAGGTCATAAAACTTTACATAATGCATTTTTACAAATTTAAATAAATTTCTTCAAAAAACATTATTTAAAGTTTTTTTGAATGACTGAATGAATGTACCACAACACGCTAATGCTTATATAAATTTTTTTTTACAGAAAATAAGAATAACTTTAATAATCATAATAACAAACTATAGTAAAATACTATAGTATCAACTTGAACCGGTGGTTCGAATTTCTACTTCGCCCACGGGCTGAACTTAAAATTGAAAAAAAGTTAGTTCAAAACTGCTTAAAAATTCTCATTTGTGGGTTAAAATATCAAATAAAATTGGCTTTAAATTCCTTGCGGTAGTTGAATAAAACATTGTGTGCGACTATTGGTCAAAACAGGAGATTCCAGTCGCGTGTTACCGCACTCTTTTTTCTTTCACTAGTGGCACAATATACTATTAATCAACAGCTACCTGGTTTAAAAAAAAGATTTTTTTGCCTACTTCATGTATAAATTAAATATTACTTCTTATTTTCATTCTTCAGGTTTAAATCCCCTTTAGCTTTATTAAATACTATTTGGCCAGCACATTATGTGTTAATTTTTTTTTAAATATAATCAATGATCTCAATTATAGAATCTGAGATTAATTTATCTCTTTAATCTTTAATTAATTTATATTAGTTTATGTATATATAGGTTTCCACGGGGGTTATATGTATTAGTGGTTTTTCGGGATCTGCTCCGTGTTGTCGGTTTTTGGTTCTTAAAAGAACCGTATGTCTGACGACCTTTCGGTATAATCTCATGTACCATCTTCAGGTCTTATCTGCTGGGCTGCTGTTGCTGTTCAATTTTAAATCATCCGTTGCATCTTTGGAATATTTTCATATATTTATATTTTCTTAATATAAGTGTATTTCTACCTTGGAAATCCGATCTTGTCCATCCTGGGTCGCAAAGTCCTTTATATTTCACTTACTATTTCATAGAGCCAGTGACAAAACCGAACATTATATTTACACTGCGCGTCAAAATTAAAGCATAATAAGTAAAAAAACTCTAACTCTAAAACGCCCTTACTAATCTTTATGACATTTTTTTATAAAAAATCTTCAACTTATAAGTATATATATCTCAGTTTACGTGTTCGAGGATTTTTCGAGAAAATATTTTTAAAGCCCTTTTATTTAATAATAAAAAAACGTTGAAAAATAACTTTTAGGGAATTTTTTTTTAAGTAAATAAAAAATATGGTGTTAAAGGTCGTATTTTTATTAATAATAATTCTAATTAGTATACCCTGAAAATTTTGTACAAATCAAACCAACATTAACGAAGATACAGTGCTTCAAAGTCAGTAAAAATGACCCCTTTTTGATTATTTTGCTGAAAAGTGGTCATTTTTGACGACTTTAAAGCGCTTTATTTTCGTTACTATTCCTATGATTTGTACAACATTTTCAGGGTATAAGGTATTACACAGCATAATTTTTATTTACTTAAAAAAAAAATCCCCTATAAAAGTTTTTTTTCGAGGGTTTTTTTATTATTAAATAAAAGGGCTTTAAATATTTTCTCGAAAAACCCTTGAACACGTAAACTGAGATATAAGTATTTTTATCCAAAATTTTATAAAGATTGGTAAAGGCGTAGAGTTTTGACGCGCAGTGTATATAACATTTAAAATTATATTAAGTACAAATAACTGCATAATGCATTTCTGCATTCTGTTTGTACCCACATTTAGTATAAAAAAATCAATTAATTTTTAACATTTTTTAAAAGTAATATCGCCTTATCATAAGACCTGTCGCCTACTTAATTTGTTTTTTGCCACATTAGTAAACCACTTATAACGACCCACAAACTTTGCGTTAAAGTCAGAATTCGTCAAGTTTGGATATAAAATACGATTATTGTCGTAAACAACAGGTTGCACCAAGTATCCTTCTATGTGTACTTTTTTATTTGAAGATGTACTATCGTTAACAAAAAAAACTCATACAGCTATATTGTGGCTGTGTGAATAAAACTTTTCCGTCAATGTCAAGCTGACATCGAGCTTTGTCACATCCATTATGACTTTTTTAACAACATTTTCAACCAAACAATGCAGACGAACTCTGGCAAGCCATTGAAGCCATTTGGAACGAGATAAAGCAAGACGGCGACTTCCATGCCGTTTGCGGGCAGTAATTGACAAAACAGAGGGATGAAGAAATATTATTTTTTTTCAAACTTCAACCTAACTTTGTATTTAATTTAAGACCTTTCAAATGTGACGTATCATGTTAAAAGCCATAATTACTCCAACGAAATGATAGAAAATCAGGAACACTAGATTTTTCAGCTGTATGAGTTTTTTTTGTTAGCGATAGTACAAGGTCGGTTAAATAAGAATAAATAGGAAAAGTAGCCAGCGGTTCTTAAAATATTTAAAAAAACTAAAAACCTTTCTTTGGTATTCCTGGGAATTTCTTCGCTATTGTATTTTGAATTATGATTAGCATCTTTTCTTATTATACTGGCCGCCATAACTTAGTTGTTTGATACATCGTTGGAATCCTTTATTTTTTTCCCTGGAATAAAGAAATTAGAACGGTTTTTGGTGTTGACAGGTTTACCATTTTATCAAATTTCAAATGTTATTTTAATAGACTTGTATTTGGATAACGTTTATCGAAAAGAAACCAAGCGCCAAAAACTTTTTCTGGGGTAAACAAAATTATTTGCAACATAATTCATTTTTAATGCTGCTCAAAAAATTAATAATGATTTACGAACCCTCTCAATCCTTTTGAGTATTATTAAAAATGAGTTATTTTACAAATAATTTTACCAAGCCAAGAAAAAGTTTTTGGCGCTTGGTTCCTTTTCGATAAGCGTTATCCAATTATGCAACTATTCTCAAATTTAAGCGACCCTTTAGCTTTTTAAAAAAAAAAGAAAACCATACAATAATGGGTACTTGGTGCACCCTAGATAAGAAGAGGGGATTTAGAAAATATGATTTACGAAAGACCTTTGTCAAAATACGTTTAGACGCAAAAGATTTGTGAAAAAAATATCTCCAGGTCAACCTTTAGGCGCCCTTGTATCTTCGGCGCCCCCCGCTATGCGGGGCCGTTATTTACGCCTAGGGAATTGACCGGTCAAATTGTTTTTGGTCAAAATAAAATTAAATAAAATATCAAAATAAATATTACTGTGATTTATTTGTGCTTAATAAATAGGTAATTAAAATACGTTAAAAGTTATGTCTATCTTTAGAAACGTTTGAGCGGCTTTAAAAAGTTATGTTTCGCTATTAAAAAAGAGATGTTCCGCTTTAAGGGCAAAGCGCCGAGTCCGGCCTAGCAACCCCTCGACTCGGGGAACCACCAAATTGTAAATGATGTCGATATTGCACGATCGCAAAAATTTTAAGATTCACGGGTAATTGTTGATACCTAAATAAAATGCTGCAAAAATTAAATATATTTTGACCGGTCAATTGACCGGTCAAATAGGTAGCGGTCAATTGACCATCCCCAACTCTATTTACGCCACTAATTTGTTCTATCCAAATAGCAATTAAACAAACAAAACAAAAAACTAATAAAAAAGAAGTAACAAATATTCCTCACCAGCGACCACGGGTGTTGGTGACTTTAGTATTAATTTACGTATTTATTCATTTGCCGACATTTCAAAGTATACTTTGAAATGTCGGCAAATGAATAAATACGTAAATTAATACTAAAGTCACCAACACCCGTGGTCGCTGGTGAGGAAAATTTTCCACACATCCAGTCAATCTACACAAATTGCACACACTATTTAAATTCCACAAATTTTGTGGGATTCCACCAGAGCCGTATCGACGGTGAGGCAACCAAGACATTTGCCTCGGGCGCCAATACTATTGTATTGGCGCTGTATTCTGGTAATGTTTAAAAAAAAATTGAAAGAAAAAATTTGAAAAAATTTTATGAAAGAAAAAAATTGAAAAAATATGGCGGGAACACGCAGAGTTCTCACTTGATTATCATAATTTGTAAAAATTAAAAAAAAACATAGGGCGCCCTCTATTTTTAATGTAATGAATCTTGGCTTTTTTTAGCTCATCTCGAATCATAAAAAGGGAGGATTCAACTATTTATCACCACAAATTCAAAATAAGTTTAGCAATTTATTGGGACAGAACGTTCGTAACGAGATTTTATCAAGGATTCAGAAATCCAAGTATGTTTATTCCACGCCTGATGTCTATCATAATGAACAGATAACGGAAATCATTCGTTACGTCTACATTTACAATGGAAAAGTCTCTATAGAAGAAAGTTTCATTGACTTAATTTGCACGTAAGAAAAAACTGGCGAAGGATTGGCAACTGATTTAATAAAGGAATTAGAAGAGGATAAGCTCGATATTCAAAATGTGAGGGGTCAGGGTTACGATAATGGAGCCATTATGTCGTGAAAACATCGTGGTGTGCAAGCACATATTCAGGGATGAAATGATCTCGCGATTTATGTTACAGGGGGTACATTCCGCTTCAGTCAATGCAGTAATAAAACCGTTTTTAGAAATTGTGGAAAGCATCTTTAAGTTTTTTTCTTGTTCTACAACTCGTTGGGCCGTCCTCATAAGGACATTGAACATTTCATTGAAAGGGCACTCGGACACACGAATTCCCAAATTAAGGCAGTTTGTGGAGTTCCAATCCTGAAACCAAATTATCCGGCAAAAATCTGATAAAAAATATTGATTCAAGGTCTGGGATCAGATATTAAGTCTGGTTGATCGCGTTACAAAAGCTTTGCAAACGAAAGTTTGACTTTGGAAAAAGCTTCACTCCTGATTTATGGTTTAAAGAATTCACTACAAGAACTTCGCGGCACAGTTTTCAAAGAAAATTTTACACGTGCTTCTGTATTAGCTACTACTCTAGAAGTAAGAAATGCCAACAAGAGATCAAAAAAGAAGAAAAGATTGGAGTTGTATGAAGAAGAAGAAGACGCGCCAGAAATTTCAGAAAATCATCAGTTTCGCATTAATATTAATAAGGCAGTTGATAAGTTCATAGTACACTGTTCAAAATTTCATGACCATTTTAACACCAAATTAACACCATATGTGGTCTGTATCGATACAAACCAAAATGGTGTTAAATAGGGTTCGTTGGTCCGGTGTAAATTCAAATACTAAAATGGTGTTAATTTAACTTTCACACAGTTTTAAAATAAATTTTACCTGGTGTAAATTGAACTCCTTTTAGTGTTAAATATTATGTGTTTGTGGTCAAATTAAATCATACTACACAGAAAAAAAGGAAAAAAAAAGGAAACAGGAAGTTATTAGTATATTAGCAGTGGTATTATTCCAGAAAATGGAACCTTCAACTCGCTAGAGATAATGTTTTTAGTTCGTTCCACTAACTTAAAATACTTCAAGTATTGACAGCTGTTTCCACCTATTTAAGGTTTTTATTAGTATCGAACAACTTGTAGTGTCACACCAAAGCAAATCACTACGTCAGCTTATATATTTTTCATTTAAGTCAACAGAGGCGAGATTTAAGAACATCACGTGATCCACAAAAAAATAAATACTTATGAGTCAACTAAATTAATATAGTTAAATGAACTATTCCTTTTTTTCTGTGTAGGTGCACTTCTCAAATATTTTTAGATAAACACCGTTTTGGTGTTCATTTTCAACCATAATTCATGGTGTTATATTAACACCACTTGGTGTTTGATTTTGACACCATTTTAGGATTACTCTTTACACCACAGATATTTTAAACAGTGTAGGTACCTAAATCTTACCTAAACATTGATACTGCTTTCAGAATTTTTCCTGACAATTCCTGTAACAATAACTACGTTTGAACGTAGCTTCAGTAAACTCAAACTCCTCAAGAATTATTTAAGATAAACAATGGACCAGTAAAGATTGTCGGATTTGGCTATTAAGTTGCCAGAAAAATTTAATTGTCAATGTTAGAAGTACATTTGTCTCACAGGCTTTTATGTAAAACAGCTGTGGTAAATTTAAACAGAAAGACAGACTTGCGGGATTTTTAACAAAAGAAGAACAAAGAAGAAAACTGCCTTATTTTTATGTTTAATAATATTAGCAAGAATTAGTTTATAGCTAAAAATTGTGTTTTATTTAATTTGCTTCCAACATGCACCGAGCCCACTTACAGGAGTAAACAAATAAACGTAATACCTTTGTGGGATCCGAACTCACGACCTCTCGTATCCTTATTAAAAAAAATTAAATTATGAATCTCATAAAACATATGACACAATGTTTATCAAACAAACTCATTAATATGTCTTTTCAGAATATAATCGTAGACGTATATTTAATGTTTGGCATTTAACCAGTTGTTAAAAGCATTTAAAATCGCGGTCGCATCTTTTGTTTATTTTGGGATTAATTTTATTTATTTTAAAATCGCAACAAAACCAAAAATTATAAACTAGTTTATCTGCATCAAATTATTAGTTTAATACAATAGAGCAACAAAACAATATATTGTTTATTTTTTGGATTTACTAAAATAGGAGTATAAAATACTTATATTTTCAATATGAATTCCATAAAACTTTACAATAGGTGGCGCAGTATAAAAAACAACATTTCAATATCTGGATGTCCCTTTGGAGATTAAAAGAGAAATAAATAAGAAAAAGGAATTTATAGGTCCTTTTAAAGCGAGAGCTATGTGTCTTTTGTTATTGAAAAAGATTGAAAAAACAATTTGCTACAGTGGGGCAATTTTATTAATACATTTTATAGATTTTTAAGTAATTACGCAATTATTACAATATTATTGATCTTATTACTAAACTTATGCAATTGGTATAAAACAACCTAAACTACTTTTCCTTTAAGTAAAAAAGCCATTTTTTTTTAAATATTGATATCTAAAAGCAACATTGAGATATCTTAAAAATTATAATTATAAATGCATCATGTGCAGTTTACTTCCTTTTTCCCATTAATCCTTTGTTTGTATCATTAGGGGTTTTTTTTAGTTTTGGGCAATATCTGATATTGCTAATTAAGACATTCTTTTCAGCAATATGTGAATTGCACATTTTGCAATACCCTGTCCGTAACTCATTTTTTCATACAAATGTTGACGTCTGTTCTTTTTAGAAGCTTTATTTTGAAACACTATAGAATGTCTCAATTAGCAATATCAGATATTGCCCAAAACTAAAAACAAAGGATTAATGGGAAAAAGGAAGTAAACTGCACATGATGTCTCGCGTAGTGCAAACACAATGTCTTCGAAGTAACTACCTTCAGAAAAGTTATACTACTGAGGAAATCTATATACATATATATATATATATATATATATATATATATCCAAAATACAAGCTGCTTTAAAGTCGCTACAGGCATCCAGGACTGCATCAAAGCTAGTCCAAGAGTGTCGGGATGCACTAGAAGAGGTGTAGTCACACTGTTTATGTTTCCCGGGGAGACTTAACCAGGTTTGAGATAACAAAAAATTGAAATAGCCATTAGTCACCCGCGTACGGCCTCTAATTCAGTGCCTTTGACCTGGTAAGAGGCCGTTTGGTTCGACTGTGAGTGAGCAAAAATGTTTTTTTAGCTCCGGAGTGACTTCTTTTTGTTTAACTTAATAATGTATTTATTACGTACCTATAGCTATAGTACCTATATAGGTATAGGTACGTATACGTTTAATCTGTGCTAAGCAAGATGATTTTTAGATAGAAATAAAGTGACATAAAGATGGGTGCAGAAGACATAAACCACTGCGTATGCGCATTACACATAATTTTTCACTGTTCTTCGAATAATAGATAAACTTGATTTTTGAACCTTATATTAAAAATGTTAACATAAATTTATTTTTGTACATAAAAAAGGAATAAAAATCAACAAATCTCCACAGGGTTTTATTAATAAGTTCGGCGCAAACAGAATTTAAATTGAAGTTTTCGAAAAAAAAGTTAAAAATTAAAGTGGTGCAATTTATTATCTACTATAATTTATCGACAAATTTAAAATCCAAATATTACAGGTTTTATACCATTTTAAATATTTTTTTATTATAATAAAATAAATAATAAAAATTTAAAATCGAATAAAATCTGTAATATTTGGATTTTTTAAATTTTAAATTTTTTAAATTTTAATTTGAATTATCTCAAATAGGGGGGCCTGGAGGCGGGTGAGGCGACAGGAAAAACTTACTTTTTTTCGCAAACTTCAATTTAAATTCTGTTTGCGCCGAACTTGTTTATTTAATGTCATTATAAACTATTATAAATTTGGTGTGGGTCCCATGTCTAATAACTGAGATATTGGTATACATAAAATCCACCATCCGCCACTGATGTCCAGGGGAGATATGAATACGTCAAATCATATTTTTTAATGGTTAATCCGTGTATTGTAGTATGTAGTCAGTGCAGTTAATAACGTGCGACTATATACTTCTTTTTCTTTCTGTTGGCCAAAAGCCTTAATGGTCTCGGTTTCAATGTACCATTTTGACCAGCAACAAGTTTTAACGTCCATGCGCTTCACGAATCCATCCACCCATAGACACGTGAATTTTCCAATCTTGGAACATCCACTAATTATTTTGTACAAATCACAAAATACCTCGCTAAAAGGTCAAGCTTGCGATATTGTCCAAAAATACAGATATATTTTTATACCCGAAATACAATTTTGTCCCTACTAGATCGAAAAGTCATCTATATATATATTGTCATCTAATATATTTCATACTTTTCATTGAGCAATCCGCACACTAGCACCAACAAAACCGAACTTCGCGACTATATACAAATATCGTAAGTAAATAGGCGTGAAGTTGCAGTAGTTTATTTATACCACTTTAAATAAGACATTTACAGATAATATCCCAGAATTGCCACTCTTACGATTCTATAAGCATTTAAGTTACAGATCATCGTAAGCTATAGAATTACGAATTTCCAGAAATTTTACGACATAACCAAGAATTGACTTATTAATCGCATCTGCAAATTCGTGGAAAATGTTACACTTTTTCTTACTGTGCGCAAAGCAGGAGGTAGCAAAAAATGTTAAAATTTTGATTGCACGATAGGGTATTACTTGAATGGTTTTCAACTTGTTTTGTCGAGATATTTTTCTTTTTATAGTAGGTACATTGTTTCCGAACAAAATTATGGTCAAATAGATAACCGAACAACTTTCACTCTTATTTGTTTTTAATCGGGCGCCTATAAATTTTTCCGATTTATGATTTTTACCTAAAATGGGCTAGGTATTACACGGATCTCGGGTTTTAAATTATATTTATAACTTTGGGAGCGGATAAGATTTTCCATAAATTATTTAAGATAAGAGTGCGTACACGGAGAAAAGTGAATTTTTAAATTTAGTACCTTCTTATTGATATAACTTTAAAAGAAGTTACTTAAAACTGAAGCACTGATTACTTTATAGATGTAAAACCACAACATATTTTGTATTATTATACAGCTGTTTAACAAACATTACTAAACATTTGACCAACTATATATTAACATTACGTTGGGTATTGATTTTATAGTAACGTGTCATCATTTAGTTAAAAAAATTTTTTTAACTCTTTTCAATATTAATAAACCAAATCTTTTTTTTTTTTTTTTTGAAAATTTGGTATTTGACCGGATATTTCACTAAATGAGAATGCTAAAATAATGATAGCAATTATATAAAAAATAATATACTTTTTTGCATACTACAATAAATACAATTTGTAAAAATATTAATTGACATTTTTTGTTATTATATGTACGTAATTTGGATGGAATCTCAATGTGCAGCTACTTGGATATTTATTTTATGAAAAAGTACAAGCAAGTGTTATTGAGCATGAGATCAATACCAAGAGAAACGAAAAAGAAAGAATTTGGGAAAGGTTAATTTATACTTTGAGTACATATGTATTGTGTTGTCCACAGTGCATTCTACATTATACTTATTTTATAATAAATACTTACACATTTCTTTTCCTAGAACCCACGTTTCTGGCTTGGAATTCACCTCAACGAGTACTGTAGGAGTGCAAACCAGTAGCACCATGAGATCAGCAACGCTTAAGTTTACCAAAAAGATGTTGGTGCTGTTACGCATGTCCTTGGTCTTGAAAATGACGATTGGCACCATGACGTTGCCAACCACACCCAAACACATGATAATCACACAAAAAACGACCGAGGTCGTCCGAATGTAGCTCGGAAACACGGGCGACGCATGATCGGTAAAGTTCGATGTCGCGTTCGAGTCATTGTAGATGTCCGAGTTTGCGGGTGTGTAGACGAAGTTTGCCGATGTCGAGTCGCCATCGAACGGAGTCGTCGAAGAGTTAAGGGCGGTAGCAACTGCTAAGGACACGATTGTTGAAATCATGTCATCGTTTTTATGGATAAGTCGATCAGTCAGGAGTAACGTGTACCTACAAAAAAACATTGTTATATTTTCTGTATAAGAATTTAATGGCAATATTTTTGAAAATTATTACAGGAACGATAGATACATGCAATGTTTTGTATTAAGGCTGAGGAGGCGTAAATTTGTAGGTTTGTACATTTTAATAACTAAATTATTTAACATAAACGCTTTGTAAATTAGGTGTAATTAATATCGATTTTCTTGAATACGGGATTTATTAAATTGTACTCGCAGATTCACATTTATGTCCCATAATTAGTTAAGTGATTTTACCAGTCATATTTAATTATTTGGTATTACGTTTGGAGTGAGTAGCAACAGTGATTGTACGATAGCGACATTGAATTTATCCCCACTGTCCGTGGAGTCCTGATACAACCAGTCCATTATGAATTACTATCCTGTAAATTAGGTGCCGGCCGGTCTGATTTCATCTGACTGCGCGACGCAGACATTGATTTTGTTATTTGTGTTATTTTGATTACCTAGTATTTTATGGTAATTATTAATTTATTAAAGTTTGCCGAAAAATGAGGCATAATAGACAATTGCGAACCCTCAGTTGAAGCGATCTCGAGCCTGATAATTTATTTACTCCTTTTTCTAACAGTTTATTGAGCCTGAACTCTAATAAATATTACAAGAAAATTTGTGTAACAGTAAACAAATTCAATAGTAAATAATTATAAAAACTTTATTTGGATGATGGCCTAATGCAGATGGAATACTTGAATGATAAAGTTACATTTTAAAATACAAAAATAGAGACTAGGACTCAATCTACTTTCACCCAATAAACAAGCAAATAAGCAAACAAACAAAGAAACTAAAAATGAAAACGAGGAACACATACGACAGCTAAGCTCTAGTATGGTGTATTATTTATTGAATGGTATTTATATATTTATTTATTTATATTATATGTGGGTTGTGGTCGCAGTAAGGAGATATTGTGAGGTTTTAAGGGTTTGTAGGATTTCCCTTTCTTTCAGATTTCACTTGCAAAAAATAAGTTGAATGTCGTTTGGGTTGCGGTTATTGTTGTTGTTTTATCCAAATAAATATAATTATTGTTTGTTATAAATTTTAAATATTTATTACGTTTAACTCCCTCCCATAATCCCTCATTTTGGAAGGATTTATGAGCGATACTTAAATAAAAATAAACGGGAGCCTTCCGGGTGTTTGACCTGAGTTCAAACGTAATTTATTGTCGTTTATTTACTGTATTTATTATTTCCCTTTTAATACTTTATCCATGAATACAACACCTTAAAAGTGTTATTGTTTTTGTTTTAAACTAAAACTTAACGATACTGCAAATATATATATATATATATATATATATATATATATATATATATATATACGCGTAAAAGTACCAAGTGACACCAAAAACTACATTGACGTTCCCGCACCCAATATTTTTTGCGCTTAATGTGAACTAATGGCACCGTATATATTTTTTAAGTATATATGCGTTCTGACACTATACAGATATATAATACTTTGTTTGAAAGTAAGTGTTTTATAAAAGTAAAACTAAAATATTGCTAGCTTTAGGAAGTCCTTTGTCGAAATAATAAGTCAGATGTTTCGAATAAAATATTTATTGTCATCACATTTATTTTACTTTTCGTTTTAAATATTCTAAATTAAAAACTAACTTTGGAGAATAAACAAACAGTCGTAACAATAATTTAAATAGAACTTTGCAATAAATTTCGTTTTAGCAAAAATTTACAAGAAACGATCCGTTCCCTATCACTTCCAAAAACTTTCTGCCTGTTTTTTTGCTTCCCTTTACTCGATTCGTGTACCTGGTAGTGCTGAACATTAGATCCTTTTTCAATCCGGATCTGATCCGGATTTTTCAACGTGCATAATCCGGTTCCGGATCTATCCGGATATAATTCTCCGATTTTAGATTCGGAGCAAAGATCCGAGATATGGATCAAAGATCCGAGATCCGAATACTGGATCTTTGTAGTGTTAAACATCAGATCCGAATCTTCTTCAATCCGGATCAGATCCGAATACACAACTGCTTAAAAGAGTTTTTTCTTAACAATATGCTTATAATTAATAATAATAATATAATTTATAATATATATAATATCATTTATTAGTTAATTCTAAGCCTATTTTCTCCATACAAAAATATTTGGCCGCTTCTCTTTTAACAAAAACTACGTCGATTGTTCACCAAGACAAACTTAAGATGTCATAATAAGGAAATTATTCATTGCGAAATAAAATTAATAATTTACAAATTAATTATCATTTTTGATACCAAACATTCTTATTTTTGACTATTATTTGCTATTTGATCTCTTTTTAAGAATTTTAAATATAGGTACTGTAGGTACTGTAAAATATTTGTTTTGTTTATAATACAATAATCCGGATCCAGATGTGAGATCCGAATCCGGTTCCTATATTTAAATCCGGATACGGATACATCCGGATCCGGTTTTTTTTTTTTCAAGGATCCCCGATCCGTAAAAAAATCGGATCCGTGCACTACTAGTATCTGGACCATCGTTTCTTGAATCATCCGGACGCCAGATTTTTAGGCAAAGTTCGAAAAACCTGTAATTCCTTTACCTAAGTGTCCCTTTTTACCACTTTTGCAAAACTTTTTGCCTTTAACACGATAATTTAGAAATTTTAAATTTATTCTAAAATAATTATTTAAAACAATATTTGAAAAAATAATTTATAACAAAATAGAAAATTAAATATATGTATATGTTAAAATAATAAGAATGACTGTATAAAAAATTTTAATGACGTGATTTCGTAAAACGATAAGTCACGGACATGTTTTTTTAACCTATATTTTAAAATCTCTTAAATTTTTTCATGGGAGGTAAATCGTGTTGAACTGTATAAGAAACAGTGGAGAACCTTATTTAAAAAAAAATATTCTTTCGCATTTTGTAAAAAAAATTGTTATTGTTATTTTTCGTTTACAAATATTTTTTTTAATATGTAGCGCAAATAAATAATAATAAAAATAATAATTTTTATTTTCAATATAAAAACTTGTAAATAATAGTTTCCTGGCAATAATGATAGATTATTTCTAATGTTTTGATTGGTTAAAACATACATATGTATATATGTTCGTATGTATACATATGGATATCCATGACTGAAATTCAAATATTCTATTGGTTTTTAGAAAATGCTTAATAATATTCACACAAATACAATAAGTATAGTCGTCTCGGCAAATGTTTTACATTGCGTCATTAATTTGTGAACCAAGCATTACAATTTGCTTGTTTCTTTGTATACGTATGTGGGATGTATGCTGGACGTATGTCAAAAAACAGGTTTTTGACATTTTAAATTGATGACACAATGTAAAGAATTCGCCGTGACGACTATACCTACTTTTTTATTAGAATTGATAAAACGTGATAATTTAACGTTTAGTTTGTGTTAAGAATACTTTTCTTTAAGATTTACCAGTTAAAATTATGCAATAATATTGGTTGTTTAAAAAATCTAGGTTAGAATAATTTGTTTGGTATTAAAAACAGTGTGGTTTGCTATATACTTAAATAAAAAAATACTGCATGCTGTTATGTTAAGTATTGATTTTTATTTTTAAATATAAACGAGAAAATACTTACGAAAATCTTCTAATGCTTTTTTACTAATTTTTGTGACCAAGTCATAAAACGTGCAAAAGCATCCCTAGTTTCCGCAAATAATTGATTGTTTCCCTAATTAATTTAAAAAAGTTTAATTACTTAGTACCTACTTACCACCAAAAACTTTGTATTTTTGATCCATTTTTATCTAATTTCATTACTTCACTAGCCGTAAATTTACATAATACTTTAAAATGCTAAGACTAAGAAGCCAAATAGATACTACTTAATAGTAAATTAAATTAAATCTTAAATATCGGGAAACGTCTAGAATCTAGACTCAAGAAATACATGGTGCCGCAACGTCCTATTGTATATATTCTATCATGGTGCCGCTACGTTGTATAGTTTACTTACGTAGTTAGCGCCCTCTGTAGATTATAATGTTCAACTAAAATTGTACTTTTCTATAGTCCAAGTGGCACCATCTGGAAATTTTGTAGGTATAATACTATGACACATTAAAGTTTATATATGAAATAAACCTATACCTAAACCTATATTAGATATATTATAATAATATATTTTCAGGTTGATTCGATAATTAATTTTTTTTTAATTTTCCAATAAAAAAAATGGTTTTATATTTAAACGTTTTATAATTAAAACTTTATTATTGTCAACACTTACTACTAAGGTGATGAATTATCGCCTATAGGCTGTAAAAATAATTTAGACCAATCCGGTTTTTACCTCCTAACCAATCAAAAAATTCTACTAGGTACTGTCAGATCACTTTCTACTTTAGTAGTTATTATTTTAATAGCAAGTTTTATGTATCGTTTAAGAAATAAAATTGTTAATTGGAGATAAAACATTGTATGCCATTCGGCTGAGTAGTGCCTTTTTGTTATTCATTCACACCGCGTCGACCTTTTAGGTTACCACAAAAGGGCTCACTTCTCAGCCTTATGATATAAATCACTATTTTTCTATTTTTTGTTTTTCTTTAATAGGAAGAGGCTTAATCAAATTAATAAAACATGATATAAAAAAAATTGCCAGAACCTATTACAAAAGTAATTACATGCCCGAGACTAAAAAATCTGACTAATTTACTTGATATCATGTTTCATACGACGAAATTATATCTTATAATTGCCATCATCATGCATTAGTGAATATGTCCAGGCATAGTGGTGCGTACACCAGTTTTTATTTGATTTTCATTAAGATTCTCTTGAGTGTGCTATCGAATTTCATATGAATTATGACTTGTCTATCAGAAGTGGCAAAGTCGTAAATTCGATTTGCGCCGCGTGAATAAAACAGCAAAATCAAATAAACTGACGGGGGATGTTTTCATATACTCGATTTAATAAATATACCCGTCGGGCCG